GCCGTTTTCAGTTACTGCAACTCAAATTGGTCAGTATAAATAATAAATCAATTGATCATAGAAAAACACAGTGGCAAAGAACCTTTCATTTTATCGGCATATTTCTAAGTTAAAACTAACTGGGAAGAAATTTTATATTAAGACTATAAATATCACCACAATTTAAAATCTGATACCTTCAGAGTCGAGCTTCAATTCCTTATTTCTGATCTCTTCTCCAAGTTGACAGCAATCCAGTGCCTAAAAGAGAAAAACATTGAAATAGAAAAGACACATTATGATTTCAAATAAACTTGGAAACAACACTAAAGGGATATGATAAATTAATACAAGTCAAATAATATGTAAATAAACTGAAGCACCTCCCATATCTGCTCATCTGTATATTCTTCAAGTGGGTCTAGGTTGCTACGCACAGTTCCCTCAAACATAATTGGATCTTGCGGGATAATGCTTAATCTGGATCTCAGGTCATGCAGCCCAATTGTTGAAATGTCAATGCCATCGATGAAAATATGACCAACAGTAGGATCAATAATACGAAATATTGTCTGTATAAGGGTGGACTTGCCACTTCCAGTTCTTCCAACAATTCCAATCTTTTTACCTCCAGGAAGAGTGCAAGTGAGACCCCTTAAAATAAAAGGCATGTCGAGGCCATAACGAACCTGTTCCAAGTTAATTAGTATTAAAAAGAAAAAAAGATGATGGGACTTGCAGCAACTTTTAAGATGTCAATAGAGAAACATTCAGTGTGAAAACCATGATGAGCTTGAAGTAGCACTTTCATGCTGAGGGAGTTGAGTTGTTCTCAAGCAGGAACTTTTGGTAACACACATCCAAGAGGCTTTATATATTTAAACCTTTATTTAGTGATGTAATCACATTTATCATCTTGGAAAGTGATAGATAATGAAAACTAACACTTAAAAGATGCAATATAAGCTGGAAAACAAACAAGGAATATCGTAGGAAGGATGTAATTACCTGCAAGCTAAGAAGGTCTATTTCCCCCTTTGATGGCCAGATATGATCAGGTCTGTTTTCATCTATGACAAGAGGTGGTTCACTAGGAATGTTTGTATACTGTAGTATTCTCTCCACAGAAATAATTCCATTTTCAAGCTGGCACAGATTCCAGATGACCCATGTTTGTATCATATTCAGACTAAGCCCATATGTCACTGCAAGGCCAGCAATACCTAGGGAAGAAGACAAAGAACAGAAAAACAATGGCTAACATGACACCATATTTCCAGGAAATTCCAGGAAACACAAATAATGGAACTATATAAAGCAAGTACCAGGATCGATTACACCTTCTGGCATGCTGATCAGAAATATCAGAGAGAAGGCAAATGTAAGGGATGACAACATATCGAGACGAAAACAAAGCCATTGCATAGCACCTGTACTATGGAATTGAAGTCGAGAGAGATCATTTGTCAGATTATAGTTAGTGTTCACAAACTCTTTTTCCTGACCAAAGCCTCTAACTGAAATTGATCCTGACATTGATTCTGCAAAATGTTGGATTACAGGAGCTCTGCAAACCCCAATCAACCTTGATAGTTCTCGTGCAGTAGATATGTAGTATTGCTGAGGGACCAGGATTAGAAGAGAACTTTAGAATTTATAGATCATGGAAATAGGAAAAGTATGAATGTAGAGTAATGGCATAATTATAGTCATGCAAGATGACAAACTCATAGAAGGTGTACATATACTAATGATGAACCAGTCAATAATGCTGTTCAATTTATCAATCTCACCTTAGAAAAAGACTTATATATTACACAACACTACAGAATTATGGCATAAGGCAATGTGATCAAAGGAGAAATCACAATCCAAATTCTGCCATTATATAATGACATGTTTTTAAAATAATTACCCCTCCTTATTCTGCATTTAATGTCTCCTTGTTGTCTTGCCTGCTGATACTTCAGAAACTGGAATGGTAGATCAAACTAATAGCTTAAATTAGGAACATAGTTTCAAAAGAGAAAATCGACAGTATTCACTTTGTTGATCCAACAGCAATTTCAGTAATTTAAGCATTCTATTAAAAACATATAAAAATGATAGAAAATACCAAAAATGTGGAAAATATAATATGCATTTATCTGATTTAGCTAGGATTTATCTAAAATTGCTGAGAAAAAAATAATGTTTACAAAAATGGGATTGTAACTTTTTCATAAAGATGGTCAGATTTTAGAAGTTGTCCAATCTCAATATTGGAGAAGTATGTCCGGACCATGGTTGACAATATCACTTGCTACAACATCAGATGACTCTGGCTGCAGTACTTCCAAGTTTTAAAGAATGTCTTACTCCCATAATTCACTGTGTTAATAGAAGAGCATTTTCTTTCCTAAGACGATAAGAAAAATAATATCTAAATTCATCCTTATGTAGGATTTTTTAGAAATGAAACTGTTTGCTTCATAATTTTCATTTTTAGAAGTGAATGAATACAACATCTAGTGTTGATGATATAAGTTTTTCTAACATTATTCACTTCTGTACTTGAAGTAGAATTAAAAACTTGTAAAACAGATACCTGATACCAAATACAAGTCGCAACCACAGGAATAAAGATGATCAAAACTGGCCATGCGACCTGTGACATGACTGAAATAATCCCTAGAAGATGTATAATTGAGAATGCAAATAATTCAATTTGGAGAGGAATGTCTGTATCTACTCCACCTTGATCAGTTGACGCCTGCCCCATTAAACATATTTTAGAGACATAAGCCTCAAAAGAATATTCTCAATGATTAAAAGAAAACTAATACTTACTCTATTCAAAATACGCCCAGTGGGGGTGGAATCGAAGAATGACATGGGTGCACGAAAAATGCACATGTGCATCTTATTAAATAGCATCGTTGCAGTCTTATATCCAGCAATTACGAGAAGCAGGGTTCTTATTAGGATACAAGCAGAGCTCCCAACAGCCAATGCTACATATACAGATATAAGCATTGAGCCACTTACAGGAGGTTCCAAGTCATCTGACAGAGGAGACTCCAAAGCCATCCAATAATTGCTACATATCTGAAGGACTTGAAAAAGAATTTGGGAAAATAATATTAATGGAACAAGTGCCCCTTTATATGCCATTGTAATATACCTCCAATAAATCAGAAACCCCACTTTTCCTGTCTCCCTCTCTTCTTCTTGAACAAGTTGACCCCTCGGCCTAACTTCATCTGATGGACCATTCTCTGTATCCATCAATTCTGCTTGTTGAGGAACTGGTACACTAGATTTTGAGGCAGAAGGACCACCTTGAATAGAGTCACTTGAAGTGTTGGAAGTATGTTTTATCATGTTATGTGCAGCCAAAGCTTCCATATGAGAACCAACCAGTTCCATGAACTCTGTTCCTGAGTTAATTATCTCATTGTACTTTCCTGCTTGTACAATCCTTCCATCTCTTATGACCTGTACAAGAGAAGAATTCTGTTTGGAATACATATGTGAGATAAAGATGAAAAGGCAGCATTACTCACCAGGATAAGGTCAGCTGATGGTAAAAACTCCACCTGGTGTGTGACATAGACCACTGTCTTCGAAGATAAAAATCCAAGCAAACATTCCTGTAGTAGTGATGTCGCTATTATTTTTAAAGTTCAAATATCTTCTTACATAGCAACATCATATTAACAAAAGAAAGTTAGTTAGTATATTAACAACCATCAAGGTGTACGTATATGAAATTCTTCATATTTTGTGAATATTCAACAAAAACACCTGATAGTTGATACTACAACCATATGGAAAGATAACTACTGTTTAAGCTATTACCTTAAAGAGATGAGATCCTGTGTGGGCATCAACAGCACTGAATGGATCATCAAACATATAAATGTCAGCATCATGGTATATGGCACGGGCAATTTGTACCCGTTGCTTTTGTCCTCCACTAAGATTTATGCCTCTTTCTCCTATAACTGTCAAATCACCGTTAGGCATGATCTCCAAATCCTTCTTCAAAGAACAAGCTTCTAGGACTCTGTCATATTTGTCTATGTCCATTTCCTTTCCGAAAATTATATTGTCTCGAATGCTACCACTTTGAATCCAGGGTGACTGAGAGACATAAGCTGTTGTACCACATAACTTGACAGTTCCAGAAATTTTTGAGACTTCACCAAGAATGCAAGAGAGCAAGCTTGATTTACCAGAACCAACAGTTCCACAAACAGCGACCCTGGTTCCTTTCAAAACTTGGAAATTTAGATCTTTCAGAGTAGGAGTTTTAGAGGAGGGATCCCACACGAAATTACCATTGCTAACTTCGATAGCTACCTCTGAGCTACCTCGTGGGAGCTTCTCTACAACATTTGGTTGCAAATCCTCAAGGCAGAGAAATGATGATATTCTATCAAGAGAAACTTTGGTCTGAACTAACATTGAGATTGTATCTGGAATAGAAAAAATGGGATTTTGCATTGTCCCAAGAGTTGCAAGTGCTGTTAGAACCTTTCCTGTTCCCAATGGTATCCTCATAAGCATGCAAGCTCCAAAGGCAACTACTGCAACAAAAATTGATGAACAGGAGAAGATAAAAATTGCAGCAGCTGATACATAAGCAATCTTCCACAACCAACTTATCTCATTTTTCCTCAATTCCATTATTTTGGATAAGAACTTCATTTCCCAAGCTTGAAGCTTGAGAATTCTCATATTCCTCAAGATCTCTGTTGTAGCCTTCATTCTACGATCTTTAGACTCCATAATCTTTTCTGTGTAATTCTGTTCTAGCTTGGCTATGGGAACATTAATCAACATTAAAATAAAGGTGGCCGCTAAGCTGATTAGTGAAGCAAGCCCCATTTGAGGATATAAGATTAACAAGGCCAGAATAACATGCACTGGGACCGATGATAGATGAAGCATGTGGTAACTGAAAGAACTAACCCTTGGAGCATCAATATTCATGTAATTTATGATTTCTCCACTGGTTTGACATTGTCTTGAGCGACTAGAGAGAGTAAGACCCTTTTGGTAGATCACAGAAACAAGGGAGGCCCTGAGTCTGATAAAAACCTGTTGAAATATGAAACTCTCATACCTACTACAAAAACCCTCAACAAGATTTGACAGAATGAACGCCAGAACCAGAAGGTACCCTTGATTTTCAAATTGTGGATCACCACTGAGGTATCGAACAAAGTAACCAATGAGATAGGGGCCAACAAATGAAGCCACAGTGGACAAGAGTGCACTAGAAGTTGCCAACAAAAGGTGTCCCCAGACAGAGAAGATTAATGACTTTGCCAACATAAATGAGGTAATTTTACCATTGGAACTAGCACTAGTATAAGATTCAAGTTTACTTTTGAATATTGGGAAGACAGTATGAACATCATCATCACTAGCTAATTGTGGAATATCTTTGAGGTCTAAAGTCTTTCTGCGACCAACAGAAAGCAAAGGACTGACCCAGGAGAAGGAAAGGGTACTCAGTATGCCAGCATTTTCGAATTGGGAGATGGCAGCATAGCCAGCCCCACTCACAGTGGAAGATCCATTGATATTACGACCATTCAAGAGAGGTTCCTCATGATTAGTTTTCTCTTCCGG